TTCACAAGAATCATTTGGATAATTTCAGCCCTGGAATTTCCTACCTCTACTGAACTAAAGATAAAGAGTAGCTGTTAACTAGAAAAACACTACATGACATCACAAGGTGGAACAGAGCATTTTAAGATTTGGAGATATATACAGACTAAGAAGAGTTACTTGAACGTGTGAATGAAACAAAACACAACTCTGGGTATGTTTTTGAGGCGATAACAAAATTGTCAATTCTTATATTGTTAAACCCCACAAGAGTCTACTAATTTTAGACCTTTAATACGTATCCAAGTCAACAATCTCTGGACCGTCATTAATAATCCACAAATTGACAAAAAAAAAGTGAAATAAATTATCATTGTTTGGCTGAATGAGATAAATCCATCAAGCTATGTCTTCTTGGTGATGAGGGAGAACAAGAGGGGCTGTGTGCTTCCTGCTCCAAAAACAACAGGGCTGGAGAGGTAGCCTATTGTGTCCTGACAGATCCCTCTGACTGTGGGAGGAGGGAGGAGGAGGCCCAATGACACGGGACTCAGAGGAGCAGAGGGGAGCGAGGATCTGGGGGAGTGCACAGCTGTGGACCGGGGATAGACAGGGCTCTCACTGCCTATGAAGAATTCTTAAAGGGGATGTGGATTTATGTAGATGCACTGGGATTAATTGCTGGGAGGAAATGTACTGGGAACCTTTAAGAATTGAGATTGGATGATTTATCTTGTAATAATAAATAATATAATTATTAAAATATATTCTGCATAAAGGTGTATTCACTTATTCACTACTATGTGGTCTCAGCAAAATAATATAAAATATGAAGGTGAAAATAAAACTGTCAAAGGGCTGTTGCACTAAAACTAAAGCTGACAGTTTATATATTCTTAGCCATTAATGTGTAATATCAGGAAGGAATATAAGCATTATTTAGCACAATAACTGAAACCAAAACCTCCAATTCTCATTCAAAGTGACTTACTGAACCTATAAAATGCACTAAAAATGCATCATAATTGAAAACTGATATGCCTTGTTATGATGTATAAGATATAGTTATACAAGTTTGATACTGCCCAGCCCAAATTTAAAGTATATTGAAAGTGAAGCCCCTATCCTGATCAGGTCCCCTAGCCCCACCCACATGTCCTCCATACAGTCCCATTGTACAGTGTTCATGCTGTATTGCAGCTGCAGCCCTCTCTTTGACCCTTTCTCTCCTCTGTGACTTCTTATTGAGCAGGACTGTGTCGGGACACCTCACAGCTCTTGTGGTTGGAGCAGAGAACCACATCGGACTCTACCAGCTCAATGCTCATTACAGAACATAAGTCTTTGTGACATGGCAGAGCACAGTTTCCCGCTTGTGCACAGCCAGACTTGTTTGGGTTGGATTCAGGCCATTGATAACTATGATTTTTATTTTCATCTTTGTTTTCTTTTATTACAAGTGACGACAGGTCTAACTTATGGCAGTTTTGCTACTTTTATGTTTAATTTCAGCTGGTCTTTTAAAAGGTTGCCAGAGCAGAACATTGTGACTTTGAAGCTGTTTCATTTTCACTGTAGCGTTAACATAGACATTGTGGAAGAACCGTCTTGCTGAACAACACAACACCGGTGTGCAGCAGGCTATTTCTGATTATAAACATGGACACTCCCATTACTACAACTGCACAAAACTCCAGTCATAAGCAGTTTGTGAATTGAATATATATCGCTTTAATATAGCCATAGAAAAAACATTTCCATGGAAAAGCAGGAGAAGGTCCTCCTCCAGGGTCAATCAGAGTCAGGTTTGTAGAGATACAAACCAACTCAGTGTAAGGGCACATGTTTTTCAGTGTTTTTCAGTCCAACAAATACAGCCAAAATGAAAAAAAAAAGAACAGCTTTTCTTTACTTTATTTTTTGGCTAAGAAGTTACATAGTTTGGCTTTAATAAAATGGGTGTGCATTCATCTGAGTACTTACAGACTTGGTTTATAAATAGATGAAAGTCTATTATCTACTGAGTGTATTTAGACAAAACCTCATTTTCAACCTACATTCCGTTTTACAATTCTTTTATTACCAAGTTTATACCACATTCAAATCAATCATCACTTTTTATAACTTGTGTAAAAACAGTGCTTGCTCCCAGACCAAACTAAAAGTCTTTCTAAACTCAAGCACCAGCACCTGTCCTCTTCCCTGGCGGGCGAGTCTGGTGAGGCTACTGTAGCGGAGCAACAGATATTTGGATTGCGTGGGTCAATGGGCTGGTCGTCATGCCGCAGAGGCCTGGCTCAACATGTGTGTGGTCCAAAGGCTGGCAGCGTGCTTTTACAGGCACAGCTTAGCGATGAGGTTAGGGCACCAAATATACAAGCTCACTTTCATCCCATGGCCTTCCCAATATGTAAGTAAGAATGTCTCTAATGCAATGGAGAGATAGCTATGTCGAATTGTTTTGGTTGTTTATTTTAACTTCAAACTAGGCAGTGAAACTTTCTTCCAGGCCGTAGAGGAAGTCCCATGTTTGTTTTGCGTGTGCGTGTGTGATTACACTGCTGGGATGCCAGTTCTTCCCCGGACCCCACATCACCTCGAGCTCCCAAGCTGTGAAAACATACTGGAGGTTTGTTGGTTCTTAGTGGCTAATAAGGTGTCATTGTGCGGTAGAGCTGTCTGCTATCCCCGAGGCTCCTTAGCATGACGTGAAGAGATTCAACACAGCGTCTATTACAATGCACACATCTAATATCTCTTTAATCAATCGAGTATTAGAATTACGACAAGCCAAAATAAGCAAAAGGCTAAAATTCAGTTTCAGGAATACCCATTTTCGACCCTGCCACATCAAAGTGCCTGTATTTTCAAAGGCTTTCTTCTTTTTTATAGCTAACTTCAGGACTCCTGGCTCCTATGTGTCCAGACAGCTTATAAAAAAGAACTGTTTTCATCCTCACCTCCCCAATTCAACACCCCAGATTCTCTCTCACCACCGCTGCTATCTGACCACTCCTGTTACTACGTTGTTTTTCACTATACACAAAGACATTGGACTATCTTCTTGACCTTGTTAGTTACAAAGGCTATCTTGCAGTGGCCCTTTGAAGCTCCCAGCCTCCCCTGTCATCTCCTATCTAAATTCAGCTGATCCATCTCGAGGCCACTGGCATGGGATCTCGTTGTGGTTTTCAACTTTAATGGAGTGAACATGAATATGAACTGTCGATTTTGGGAGTACTTTACATGCGGGGGACGATGGTTTGTTATTTCAATAGATATGAGTGGGCTGATACAGAGCCATAGAAAATCTTTGCAAGTGAAAATAGACAGGTCTCAGTGGATAGGGTTTGGGTTAAGATTTTGAAGGTTGGGTCTGCCTCCTCGTGACCTCTCTTAATGACTGAAGGGTCAATCATGGCCGTTGTGTCAAATTCCATGAGTCACTAATACACACTTGAGGATGTCATAACACCCACTCTTCAGTCATTGATAAGAGAAAGGTAGTTTCTTCCCTGTTGCTGCTGTTATGGGCCATGCAAATAAAAAGGCTATGAGTTTATCTCTATGTAATAATATTAATTGTCTAGCCGACGGCCCATAAGAGATAAAGGTTAAGGCGTTATTAAAGAACAACACTGGAAGAGTTGTCTAGTGGTGACATCATATTCTAAAGGAGCAGCTGTGTTTTCTCAACAGCCCCAAGCACCACCAATCTGAAGCTCTTACTAGGATCAGCAAATAAATTGGAGTAAAGTAAATACTAGAATTACTGTCTTACAGAAATATTTTTGCTTGTCCCTTTTGTTGTAATCACTGCAAATTATATGCCTCCAATTATACTGCATTCATAGGCGTTGTTTTTATGCTGCTCTTCTTGGTGTTACTCTGCATACTTTGAACAAGCAAAGTGTGCTGTAGGCCTAAAGGAAAACAGCAGCCACATACTACAGAGTGCGAAGGTTGCAAGAATGAGACAGGTGAGATCAGCACCATGGACAGTGACAACAGGTAGGCGCACACACCTGGTCCAAATGTCAGGTATTTTGTCCTTGCTTTTCTGTACAAATAGAGTTTATACTCCTTTGCCAATTTACACAGTTTATGATAAAAAATAAAATAAAAATATAGTGCAACCTATCACACAATTGATTGTAAACATTTTCTCACAAAACCAGTCAAAGCCCAAGTTAAACAAGCCTGTGTCAGAGGTAGCCCCAGGTTGTGTGAAACAATACTTCACTCTCAGGCCCCTCATAGATGTAAATGGATGTTCACTGGTGTTGTGACCTTTAACCTTGTCTGCCCCCTGTTTCCTGAACCAGATGCGGCTCCTGTGGACCACGGTCTTCTTAAACTAAACAAAGTAATCCTCCACTAAACAAGATGGATATTGTATCACCACTGCAGTAAATACCAGGACAGCAGCTTTACGCACGGAGCATGCTCTGTCCACGTCTGTGATGGAAGCTCAGGGAATAATCACACTGTTGTTTCTGGAGCTGAAATATGACTTTGTTATATAACACTTGCAGCACTCATAAAGAGCGCGGTAAAACGGCATCATATCATAACATGCCCCCTTGTGGGCGATGAAATAACACAAGCCCATCAAAGGGATTAGGACGCACAAAAAGGAACGTAATGTATAAAAGAACGAAAAGGAAAGAAGGAAAATACGTCTAAAACCAAAACCCTTTTTATATGAAAAAGGAAAGACTAAACTGGAATCCAATAGGCTACATAAAATGAAACGTTCATTTAATGCCTGTGATATTAGTTCCTGGATCTGTTAAACTAGAGTGTGTGTATTTGTTATTAAAGCATTTTGTATAGTATTTATTCAAAAGCACTCACAAGTCCACTTATCTTCCAGTAATACTTTCAGTTCCTGGTGTGCGTCCTCCCCCTGTCTTACGTAATCTGCTTTCTCAGCCAATCGCCTCCTCTCCTAAAAGTTTACGCCAAGCAGCCTATAAGAACTGCCTAAGTTTCTCAAGTATCAGAAAAGATTTGTCCTCCTGGAGACCCATCTATGGATACTTTCGTGTCTGCTGAGACGCACAGACCTTCACAGGTGGACTAACTCGTGGACTTCATGAAAGGGAAATATTTTTTGTAGACTTTGCAGCCACCATCAACCCAAGTGGTGATGTCTGAGGAAAATATGGGTGAAGAGTCGGGTAGCTCCCCTGTCTCTCCTGTGGACAGCTTGAGCAACAGCGAGGGGGAGCTGGACAGGCAACCGAAGCGCTGTGGGAGGAAGAGGAGACCGAGCAGGAAAAACGGGGAGGACTCTGATAGCCCTACCCCTGGGAAACGAGGCAAGAAGTCCAACAGCAGCAGTCCCCAGTCTTTCGAGGAGCTCCAGTCGCAAAGGGTCATGGCCAACGTGCGGGAGCGACAGAGGACCCAGTCTCTTAATGAGGCTTTTGCGGCTTTACGCAAAATTATCCCCACGTTACCATCGGATAAACTAAGCAAAATACAGACCCTTAAACTCGCGGCCAGGTACATCGACTTCCTTTGCCAGGTGCTGCAAAGTGATGAGCTGGACGCTAAAATGTCAAGTTGTAGTTATGTGGCACACGAGAGGCTGAGCTACGCATTCTCTGTGTGGAGGATGGAGGGCGCTTGGTCCATGTCAACATCTCACTAGCATAAGGAGAAATTATGCCCAAAATGGTACGCGTTGTTTTCTGCAGTGTCTGTTTTGACAAAGGTCTTTTTTACTCACAAATGTCCCCTGATATAATTGCCTTGTTGCTGTATTGCACCGTTTTTTCTGTTTCGTTTGCAGTTGGTAACTATCGATGCTTATGATGTGCTAACCGGTCCATTCTTGATCCACAGGTGACTGCTGATATTACATTCCGACGGGACAATTCTGGAGTCATGCTGGATACATGGGATCACTATTTAAACAAAGACGACAGACGCTGTGTGCTGAGGAGATTTACGCAGAGGCCCGTTACGCGTAAACTCCACGACCCATCTGAAATGTTCCTCTTTGTTGACGACGAATGTTCATACTGTCATTTATAGATGAGAATAGAGTTTTATGCATGCCTTCGGACTTATTTCTGTGGAGGTCAAAGTGCATTGAAGCAGTTCTCTGTGAGTCTGTCAGGTGGCGGTGTATTGGCCTCATGTGTGGATCAAACCTGTGCAAAAGATTTTCAGAATACATTTATTTATTTATTGGTGAAACGTGTTGCATTGAAGAAAAAAATCCTGTGTCTGAAATACAAATACAATCCTATTTTTATCATGTTTTTGTATATATTTGTATTTTTGCAATAAAGAAAAATCTACAAAATTTGCTTTTATTGTTTAAATTAAATTCATTTTAAGGGTAAATATTTTTTGTCATGTTCAAATATACTAGTATTTTAATAGTTATAATGTCTTTCCCATTGTTTGGAGTGTACTGTATTTTTCAGGACATTTTTAAGTCATTTGTGGATTCAAGGGCTATTATTGGCTAGAACCAAATCGGCAGAGAAAAGGAAACATGCGGCTGTAATTCTAAATGTATAAAACGTCTAACAGTAAAACGCGGAAATCTTTGTGGGCAAACTGAAACATTTCTAAAAACCTTATGACTAGAAATGGGACACTTGAGCCATTAGCTATAATTTTAGTTTTAACATAGTAGTGAAAAATGCTAACGTTCTTTAGAGCAAATTATCAAGTTTTTTTAACACTTGTATTTTAAGACTCATCCTCAATTCAGTAAAAACAAGGTCACCTAAATTCACTAACTAAACACAAGGCCTTCAATTGCCCAATAATGGTAAATAAAAACGAGCCAAGTTATTAAAAGCACCACTTCTGATTATTATTTATTATATTTAATTGAAATAAAATTACAGTAAGCTTAAACCAGGGTTTAGTTTATTTTATTTTACTGGTGATCAAGATTGTACTTTTACGCACAAGTGCTTGGCAGCGTGGTGCGTAAATCCCCTCCAAAACTGTAAAGAATTATTTTTTCTCAATATTTTGATCCATTAATAAACAATGAGTAATCGTAAGATTGTGTGATTCGCGGGTGTGCGCATGCCCCAGTGGTGCCCTCAAAAAGACTTGATTATTGTCACAAAATAAATCTTTCATAGCAGCATCGTCCTGATTGATCTGCCTGATCTGGGAAAGTGTTTCTCACTGTCCAAATCAAAGCGTGTGTCCGTTTGAAGGTGTGTAATTGACTTGCGAGGCATGTATGGAATTCCCAGATGTCTATGAAATTTAAGGAGGCCGCGAAGGTAGCCTGTATCTGCAAAGTGTGCGTTTTCAAAGGACACAAAACCTTGACACGCTCTGCACCAAAAAATAACATTTCTGGCATCAATTAGACGTAAGGACGTGGTTATAACTTGAATAGGATAAACCACATCAGTAATTAATTGCAGACATGGAATGCAATTTATCTCACATAAAATACATGAAAAAGGTAAATAATAAAAATAAGTAGCCTATAACACACAATATTCCCAAAAAACTTTCAATTCTCTTTTTGGAAAGAGAGGAGTTGGCAATTGACACGATGCAGAGGCACAGAATGAAACCTATTTAGACCAGATGTTAGTATTTTTAAAAAAACGTCACGTGAAATGAGCAGATGTTCTGAGAGTGCAGGCTCGGCACAGTGCATTAGTCTGCAGAGAGAGCTCTACAGAGCAGCCTGCTTTTCTCACACTGGAACACGGAGTCTGTACTTTCAGTTTGTCTTGTACCATGGGTTTAATTAATACGGATTAAAATAAGGGGGCCACCTGCAACAGCCAGCCGCCATCTGACGTCGACGCCCAGGTAGGCAAATCAAATTCCTTTTGTCTTTATCTGATAGTAGAGGCCTAAAATGTCGAGCAATATGCTAGCAAACCTACCACCATTGTGTGAAACTATTGCTTTTTATACTTCTAAACGCAAAAGAGAAAGAGTTGTCGAGGTTTGGTAGACGCGAGTGTGCCGTGTGTGCGTTACGCTGTGGGGGGAGGAGGTGGCGTAGCTAAAGGAGGGAGTTGGCTGACTGAGGCACTGACGAGCATTTATCATGGAGTTATTAAGCGGACAGAGGCCGTCCAGTCAGGACACACTGACCAAGAGCTCAGCTGGGCTCAAAAAACATACAAAAAAGATCCCTATGTAGGCCTATGTCTATTTTCACAAAAGCCACTGCTTAGGCATTTATTTAGGCTATGTAGGCTTAGTAAATTCATTAATTGCATTATATTTTTTCTCTCTCTCTCTATTATATATTATTATTATTATTATTATTATTATTATTATTATTATTATTATTATTATTATTATTATTGTTGTTGTTGTTGTTATTATTGATAATAGCAATAATAACAATAATAATAATCATAATAACTAGAGTAGCATTATTATTATATTATAGTTTTTACTAGCCTAAAAAACGGGTTAAAGCAGGTGCTAGTGAGACAGCCCCACTGAGGCCCCATAGAGCTTTTTTAACACCTCACACATGGTGCACAACTGAAATATTAAATTCATCAGGGACAGGTTCTTCTACGGTCCTGAATATAAAACACACACTGGTGGTTTGTATAAATGCATCTACATCATAAATACACACGTTTGTTACGAACACAGAATTGATTACACATGTGTAACTTTAGCTCTTGTCAACACAGTATTATGAATGTGAAGGAGTGGTGGTGTATATTACAGGTCTGAATGAAACCAGATTTGTGATTTTCATTTTGCATTACAACCTAAAGTTACACCTGCCAAACTTGAAAAGAATCAAATTGAATGTGAATGTCATTTGGAAAATCAACCAGACTTGTAGTGTCATTGCAAATAAAGGATGTATATTGTTATATATATATATATATATATATATATATATATATATATATATATATATATATATATATATATATATATACATAGAGTCCTATTTGACTGTATTCTCAAATAATATAGAGAAAAAAAATATTGAATTTTTTTGTTGCTACTGTTGATACCATTGGCTTGATATTCTAAAGTAGACACAACGCCAAACACAATGTACCCAGAGAACACAGAGTAATAATAGTGTCTCATTTAGACAAGAACAAAAAGTATATTCTGTTTTTTATATCCATGAAGGATACTGGACATAACATTAAAGTTGTCAAATAACACAATTCAAACTGAAATTGTGAAGCAAAAGCTAGTCAGTGTTTCATCGCAGTGGTCCTAAAGAGTGACGCCATCTTTCTAAGTGGTTTGATTGCAGCCTGAACCACACTGTCCTGTATACAAGTGCACTGTCAAAATGTGTGCACCTATGATGTGTGCCACCCAGGCTGCAGACAGGACATGCTCCAGTGTTTTTAAGGGAATACACAATGATCTCAGTGAGGGAACAGTCTCGGAAGGGCTTGGCACCTTATACAATTGAACTGGATCCCCCCTATTGGCTCAGCAGAAAGGCAGCAATAATAAACAGGCAATCAGAAGACAGCGTGAGCGTACACAAGGCTCTGCAAAAAAGATAATAAAAGCAGATTTTTGGGTGACTGAAGGCGGATGATTATTTGTGTTCTTCAGTTGTCCATAAATAGAGGGCTGCTCACAGGAAGTATAAACACACAGATCGAAGGGAGGCCTGGCGCGCTCTGCTGTTTATCCTCAATCAGGATGGTGTATATGCACAACACTGCAGCCCTGATCTGAGGAGGGGGATAGCTCACTATCAAATGTAAACCACTTGATGACTGTTTCTTTTGTTATGCCACAAACAAAATCTATTACTCACTCCAGCTTCCTGTTTCAAAAATAAATATACTTTGATAGCTTTTTTATTGAACCGCAGCTTAATTTGGTCACAAGAGTCTATTAGTGTGAGTCAGTCCCAAGCCTGGAAAATAAAGTCGGGAAAGACATCTGATGTCAGACCTACAGAACTGTGGGTGAGTCAAAGGACAAACGCATAGTCACAGAATAGTTTTAAAAAGTTATCTCTTTTTGAAAAGAAAGTTTCCAAGTTTCTGAATTGTAAAATATTTCTTAAATAAAGTTGTATCCATCTTTTTTTTTTTTTACAATTTTACACTGAGTTTGCATGTTCTCCCTGTGTCTGATGTGTTTCGTCAAGGTGCTCTGGTTTTCCCCGTCAAACTAAAACATTCACTAGAAGGGTCCCTGGGCACTGCACTGTGGTCACCCACTGCCCCTAACAGGTTATCCAGGAATCCAAGCAATAAAGCACAGGTCACAAGTTCACTTGATGGTTAACCAAAAATATATACCTTACCCTTAAACTAAAAATATGTTCTTTGTAGTTAGTAACCTACTTTGGTCTGTATCTCAAAAAATACACCAATGTTTATTTCAACCTAAAAACAGAACATCTCACTGATATTTTAATGACAGACATTTACACAATCAAATAAAATTCTTATTTTAACCAAAATAAAGCCATTACAGCTCAATATCTAAATCCGTACACAGTAAGCGCCATTAGAATAGCGTGAAACAAATACGTAGAGTTTAATATATGGGCGTCCACTTCGTCCCATGTGTTGCAGTGAGACGTACATGCATTGCGTATGTCTCCGGTTAATGTAGCTAATGATGGAGCCTGCTTGTTGCTCACTTGCCTAAGGCCCCACTGCTCCCTGGGTATTAATCCTATTGCCTTCATTAACCTGCCGGCCCACAATCCCACCGACAGGCCCCCCATGTCACACTGATAATTGATGTGTTGTTACCTCCATTTACAATGATCCCTTTATTTCTTTCCAATAGTGACTTAAATGCTCTATTCTTGGTGAATTAGCTCGTAGCAGATTAGAATTGCCTTGAAGCGGGCTGAATTAAATTGACCATCACTATGAACATTCCACACTCAAGAATGCACGCCCCTGAGTCAACGTTAAGTACTGATCAAACTGGAGTAAATAAGGAAACTCTGCTGTTAAAAGGGTTTGTCATCTTTTCAAGCTATAAAAGCAAAAGGTGTATTACGTAGACAGTTTCCAAAGGATATGTGGTTAGTCAGTTTGCCAGTAAACCCGCTCAGTGGTTTATACTGGTTTATAATGTGTACGGTAATGGTAATGTTGTGTATATGTAATGATTCACTGTGTGTTTTGTCACTTCCAGGCAGATTTACCACTGGGAGACGTCAGGATTCACAGACCTACGACAGCAGCACCTGATCTAACACCAGGAGTGAAACAAGACGAGGATCAGTGTTTGCTTGTTTGTCCAGCGGAAATACAAGTAATTAACTAAATGACATCCATATTGACTTGCTTAATCATTCCAGTAAT